TCAAATTTTGCTCCTATGTTTCACACAGCAAATGTCCTTCAAAAGACTAGAAAGGAGATATAGAATATACACATATCAAAATTGTTTTTAACCCTCTCAGGTACTTGTATGCTTTCACAAAAGTTAACAAGGAAAAACTAATGGTCATAATATCACTTACTATATGTTTCAAAACAGTTTTAAAAAGCCAATAATAAATTAATAGAAATGATAATAACAAAATTTAAACAAGTGTAAATTCATGGCCCCTGTGCACTTTACATAGCAACAAAACAGGATATCCATTGTAAGGATGTACAGGCACTAATATCAATACTGTAAAGGACACATTGCACAAATTGGCACAAACAAGCAATCATGTCCACCACCGCATACACCAACCTTCATACTCTCTCGCAATTTTCCACACTCACACACATGGAAATATTTTCTTCAAAGGTAGGGTCTCACTGTTCTAACTGTAAGTCCAGCTAAAGATCACTAAAGTTGATCTGAAATAAATTTCCTTATAAAGGGTTCTCAGTTGAAAGAGGACCTAATTTCCTCCCATTATGACATTCCATACCAAGAATATGAAAACAGAAAAAATTACTCAACATATTGTCAATGCTTGACCCTAACTATGTATGTGCTTTAACATTGATTTTCAGAAAAGTGAAAAACAACATTATTCTTTAATGTCGTCAATCACAATTGCTCTACATGTTTGTACAGAGTGTTTTTTTACGTCCATATTAAAGTATCTCCACTTGTAGTGAAAGTGGTGAATCACACAATTTGAGATAAAAAAGAGTTTGACCTAATATAGTGAAAACACATTTAGAGTCAAACGCCAACCATACCTTCAACAATTTTTTCCCAGTGATTTCATAAGTATGAGCGGTTCCACATGACATGTATTATGATAGCCTGTACAGTACAACTTGTGCCAGACGAGAAATTCCAGCGCACACTTACATCTTTGTCCTTAGCAGACACCACCTTCTCAGCTATGCTCGTCATGACCTTGACCAGCTCTTCCTGTTTACGGAACTCTTGGTAGAGGGCGTCCCCAGCAACACTGGCCAGGGCGACAAACATCAGCTCATAGCGCCGCTTGAAGGTTGCCTCTTGAGCTGCCACCCCTGTGAGGAAAAGTTGGAACAATTTTAATATGACAACCTTTCAAAGTACAGTCAAAATAGTTCAATATGGCAACCTATTGTCGAGGAAAAAAGTGATTGTCCTAGACAGGTGGACGTATTGGACAGTGTCATTATGATATAAAAAAGCAGGGGGTGGGGGGTGGGTATTCTATTGTGCACATGATTATCTTTGGCAGGTGGCGGTTAGAACAGGTTCCATTGTATTTCATTTGTAAGTAAATAACAAGGGTAAACACTAGGATTTGTCACTATTTGCAACACATTTTCGCATTGGCATTATAAATATATAAAATATTTCACTAAACTAATAATATGATCAAACTACTAAACTCTTACTACACTCAATGAAGTTTTTTAACCCCAGAATTTTTAAACCCTGGCAAGTTTTTAACAATTTTTCTACTAGGATTAGAGAAAAATTTGACTAAAACAAGACTTCACAGGGACGTGTTATGAACATTCTGTAACGGTTTCTTAGCAGCAGTTAAGAACTCTCATTTCTCATTTCAATGCACCTTGGTCCTTTTCATGCTTACTCTTCGTTCCATTTACGGACTTACCTCTGAAAAGAGATAACATATTTACCGCTACGCATAATGTTTGTATCTTAGCAAAGATTACATTTGTATCTCAAAGCAAAGATAACATATAAGTATTTTTTCTTTTAAATATTTACTTAGGTCCTATCTTGAGGCTTAGTTTTTCTTAATCTTCATTCATGACACATCTGACAAAAGGCACACACACACACAACAAACCTTTGAGCAGCCAGAAGAACTGATGGGCAAACCGTGGGCTCTTACACGACTGCTCCAACAGCAGTTTGGCCAGTGGAGAGTTGTGGTAGCTCTCAAACTTCAGGCCCTGAGAAACCAAAGAAATATGTCTTAACACCAGTTGGTCACTTTGGGACATATTTCAACAAGAGCAGAGTTTGTTTTATTTTGAAGATGAGAAACCTTATGACTCCGGTAGATGGGCAAGGAAAAAGAGAGTAGGGATAGGGAATGTGGCGGCAAAGTGAAGGTTGTATGCCACCAACTGTTTTTACAATTTACTTCCCACTGAATAATTTGTTTGTGACACAAACAATAACATTTATCTGCCAGAAACCTGTTATGCACTGCAAACATAGCCTCAGACCATGCATGCATTATAAATACTTGTGACTTTATGACCACCACAATGTAAGGGCCTTGGTACCTTAAAGAAAGGTTGTGGTATTGGTGGTAAAATATTCGCAAAATGTCAACAACAAATTTGGACATACAGGACTTTTGCATAAATATGCACATTGGGAGTTCTAAGACCTTACAAAGAAGCTGCATATAACATTTCAATCTACTCGCAAACCGCTTTTGATTCAATAAACTTGTTGAAACACAATTCAGCAACACCGGAAACAGCCTATTTTTTATAAAGTGTCTTGATCCTTACAGACAACAGGGATTCACTCTGCTGGGGGAAGGAATCCCAAACCATAATAAATGGAGGAATCCGAGAGAACCTTTTTGCTGACAGGCAATCACAGCCTGAGAATGATGAGTGAACAGATTGGTGCAAAGAGCTACCACCTCACTGACAGATTTCTCTTTTGTTTTCGTGAGTTTTATTGCACTTGCAACACAATTAGGTCTTATAAGTGCTGAAGATTAATAGTTACAAGAAAGCAATAAATACAAAATAAGGAGAGATAAGGATGACAGATGTTTGAGAGAAAAGGAGGATCAAACTACACAAGACCACCCTTCAACCACCCACTGACCTCTCTGTGAACCACAGAGAAGGGAGTACATAAAGAATGTTCTTACTATAAGGAATCCTTCTTTATTTTGGCTCTAAATGTTGAAAAATGTTATAGAAACTATAGATGACCTATAATAGCTCCAAATGCTAAAAAACAAACTAACATAGCAATAGTCTCTCGTAACTACACATTTAACGCCGGGCAAAACTTTACGGCATTGCCTTCTATCGCTTCATAACAATGATATTTCTGTACAAACATAAAAAGGAATACAAGGACAACAGCCCTGGAATACAAAAGATTACAACTTGAAAAACACATCTTTATCCAATTTAGGAACTGTCACCTGTATCATTTGAGGTAGAAAATCCACCAAATCATCCGTGGGAATCTTGTTGAGGCTTTCAGCTGCAAATTGTCGCACTCTTACATCTGGGAACCTTGTAAGAAACAAAAAAAAGATACTGAATTTAAATATGTATTCAGAGAATAACACTGAAGCCATAATTAAGACCTCATAATCCCCCCCCCCCTTTCCCCCCATTCAGGGATTCAAACCAGAGTCATCTAAACAGTAATGACAACAAGCTAACATTGTGCCAAGAGAATGGGGATAAATGCAGATAATATTCTGCACTCATATGAAGCCATTAGAAAGTTTAACCAACTAACCATATGTTTAGGCAGATAAGAGCACCGTGTTAGGAAAGAGAAAGGTACAGCTTCGGTGAGTTGTGGTCATACATGTTGCTTTCTATATTTCCTAAATTTACTTTTCTCTCTTTACCATGTTAACTACGAATTTAGACGGATGAACTAGTATTATTATTATTGCAATTATTGTTATTATTATTATTATGCTTATCATTATCATCATATTATCATTATTATTATTATTAATAAAAATAATAAGAGCATTTGAATCCCGTCTTTCCCTACAGCATGGGCCCAAGGCGTACATAGGAGATTAAAAACACATTCATACTAACACCATACAAATTCATCACGTGCGCACTTTTTGACAGCAACATTCTTTCAGACAATAAAAAATGCTCATACAAAAAGGCAAAGGTATTATTATCCTCATCAATATCAATATTCTGTACTCACTGAGGCAATAACAGTTCAAACGACTGCATCGGGTGTAGTGTCTTCCAGTGTTTGAGTAGAGAGTAAATCTCAGCGAGGCTGGCCCAGTCCCAGCTGTGAGCGGCCTGCAAGATGCGTGGCAGTAAGGACGGCTGGTCGGTCATGTAGTGACGGTGACTCCACAGGATCTCCAGCTCCTCCGGACTGAAGCTGAAGACGGTGAAACAAATTCTCAATATAATCATTTATTGTCAATCAATTATTGACTAATTAGTCACTGTTAATGGTGTGTGAATATGGCATGCTGTTTACCAGTTACCACCATCATTACCATCATCACTATTGCCTTCAGATTGAAAATGCAAACTGTAACAATATTTTTTTTTGGGGGGAGGGGGGTTAAGCAATAGCACCCCTTTTTTTTGTGACACTAGAGTTGTGCAGAAATTTCATCTTCATCATCTTCACATTCTCCACCATAACCATCATAATCTCTGCTACTTTCAGATCAAAATTGCAAACAATTGTTGTTACTATAGGTCTCTTCAGACTCTGAGAGAAATCTCTCAGTAACATTTAGTACATTACCATTACAGTCCACACTACTCAACAAAATTTCTACAGATAGACATCTGGATATAGCATTTATGGTGCTTGGATGAGAGTAACATGAGATTACATAAACATCTACACGTACATAAGTGAGGCAGCGTGGTGAAATCAGGCACTCGTCAAAATAAGAAATCTAAGAAATGAGCTTTTTGTCTGCCAGTTTGGAAATTTTTATCGAATTTTTATTTTTGGGCCTTATCTCTTTTATGTCCATATAAAAACACATTTCCATGTGAATTTTAATGATCAACATTGATTAAAGGCACAAAATATGTAATTTTTCAAAGACTCTTTAGCTATTGGAGTAACCTAACTTTCGCAGCCATTTCCTCGCTTATTTCACCACTGAAACCAGGCGATCTCACTTCCTTCAATTGCAAATATCTGGAGTTCTATTCAAGATATAAAGATATTTATTTCATTGCAAGCAAGGCAAACAAATCAGCTTTCAGGTGATACCAATAACTCCACATGCCCTATTATTGACGAGCACCTGATTCCACCGCATCGTGACATATATGTTTCCATGAAGTTTTTGGAATACCATGTCTTTACAATCAACACACTGTCTGACTGTGAGTACTAAATGTCCTTTTCAATTAGCATGAATGACAAACTGTCCCACAGGGGACATTCTAATGCTACACGCTGTCAAAATTGCTGCATAATCCCAGTATTGAATCAGATCACACAAACCTTGAGCATGATTCCTTCTCCATCAAGTTAACAACCAGACCTCGGACGTCAGAACCCAAAATATCAAAGGACTTCACAGGACTGAGGATAAAAGAGATCCTCAATATACATTCTGGTTTAGCAAGGTCCTGATAATCAACAAAGGCTGTTAAAAGGAGGGAGAAAAGAAGTGACAGATAATTTGATAATTGTTTGATAAAAAACACTAATTTGACAACAATTCTGTCGAAGGAAACATTGTTTCGTTACAAAGTATTTTAGCGTAGACAAATCCAGTCGACACTTGCAGCAGCTGTCACAGACACCTGCCTAGGCACACATTTCTGGAGCTGACCTGGGGAAGAATTCATCCATGCCCAACACAATGCTAATGAAAACGTTAACTTGTCCGTAGCTCATGGGAGGAGGCAAGCAAAGTGAGATTGGTCGCCACTCAAAATTAGTGAATACATCAAATAAAAAAAGTTCAATTCTCAAGCATACTGGAAAGAATACTTGTCTATGGCTCTTGGGCAGAGGCCAGCAAGCAGAGAATGTTCCTCAGTTAAAAGCGGTGAATTCATCAACAAAAAAAATGTGCTATACAAGAAGACAATACTCACCTGTGCGGAGCATTCAGAGGCTCAGGGAAAAAGATGGTCCTCTCAAAGTCAGGCAAGTTCACCTGGGGAAAAAAACAATAACTTTGTCGTTAAGTAACATAAACACTTCAGCATACAACAACATAATACAGCAACTTTTATCCCAACTACTCAATGACATTTTTCCTTTGCAGCAGTGAAAATGCATTGTCTGCCTTCGTCAAAGCCAGCTGTTGCTTTGAAAGTGAAAGATAAGTGAGATCCCTGCTGATCTATACAGAACAAAGTTTTTGACTTGGCATGGACGGATATTACACCATTTCAGATAATTATTTTGGCATTCCCAGTCTGCTAGAATCTCCATGAATTCACTTTACAAAAGTTGTCAGGGTATACTGCTATTGCCAACTTTGATGAAAAGCCTGGTCTAGCACAAATGAGCCTCCCACAGTATTGACTCAGTACTCATTAAATTAGCTCAATAGACCACTACCTAAAAAACTTGAGGATACAAATTATATCAAGGTGAATCATAGGATGCAGATAGTCATGTTTTATCAAGGTCCATTCTCAGCTGTCTTTATCTTGTCTACTTGAGAGATATACATGTATGTGAGATCACTGAAGAAATATCAATTTGTGAACAGGAAATGGGTATACTAGCTAGCAAAAGAACTACGCCAAGAAGTGATACTGACGTTCAGAGATGGTAAGCACAAAATCAAATAAGTAAATACGACGCATTTCAAAATTTGATCTACGATGGATTTTTCTCACATTTCTAAAGTTCAACCGCAATCAGTGTCCACATTACATAGATACAAGCCACAAAATGACTTTCTAGTCTAGAGCGGTCACTCACCTGCAGTAGCACGGAATCAGGGAGCAAAGTCTTGCAGGAAGGCATGATGGGGTCAAGCCCCACACCCATCACTAGAGGTACCAGCTGCGGGCCCTGCACAAGGTACCTGACATATGGACAGAAGAAAAACAAAGTGAAAATACCTGATAAATGACAAGAACTACATCAAGAAGACTCAAGACTCTAATCTTATATTCTGCAACACTTTTCTATAAAAATCTAAAGATGCTTCTTCTTTTTTTACCTTTTAGAAAGACAGCAACATTACAAGACCCCTATCAACACCAACAACAATTCACAAGTCCCACATAACAAGACTCATAACAACACCAACAAAAACATCCCTCCCACATAAGAAAACTTATATCAATGGTAATGACAACACCCCTCCCACATAACAAGACCCATAACAACAACAACTACAACACCCCTTCTACAAAACAAGGCTTATATCAAAGGTAACAACATCACTCCGACAACACCACCATTCCGACAACACAATTCCCACAACAACACCAAGAACAACTCGCCCTTTCATATAACAAGGCTTACATCAATAATAACAACAACACACCTCCCACATAACAAGACTTAATTATATCAATAGTAACAATATCACTCCCATGTAATAAGACCCATAACCACAGAAAGAACAACTCACCCTTTCTCGTTGAAAAGCTGTATTGCGGCTGCCCCAAGTGGATAGATGACCTTTTTGCCCTCTGTGAACTCTGCCTTGTCCCCGCCCTGTGCACTCCTGACCCCACAGAGCACCATACACAGCCGGGTCTCCCTCGGCATGGTGCACAAGTACGTCTGCTCAAACTGCAGCCTGGGAGAAAAGTGATGTGGATTTTTTAGCCACTTATTTCCAGTACAAAGTAAAGTGAAGCACAAACATACTAGAGTGTCCATTCTGTGCAGGGATAAAGTAAGACAAAGGCAAACAGAATTACTGGAAATAGCAGTGGGAAAGAAAAGCAAAGATAGTACAAGACAAGATGGGCCACTTCTCTCTTTGAGCCAATTAAAAAAGTGTCCTCAAAATTTGGTGGCCCCCTCTTCACAAAAGCGCACTCTTTGCGAACAGAGTTACCCTACTTGAGTTTTTAAAAATCAAAGTGAAACTAGCAAGTTTTGGGATAAATTTCGGGAAGAACGCTTTTTAAAAATGGTTACGCTGACAAAAAACCTCTTCCGGAGGAAAAGGAGATGGTTTTCTTCGTTTAATTTGACTTTAGAATGAAGGGCGAGAGGTCATTAAAATTATTTTTAAAAAACTAAAACTCTGCACTGAACGTACCCGAACTGCTGATGAACAGCAGTCGATCTGCGCACGCAAGGAGGTGCTATTCCTATTCTTCCTCTGGAAAAACGAAAGAGAGCTTCAAAACAGACTGCAGCGCCATCTGAAGCAAAGAGCATACTTCCTGCGGACACTTTTTAGGCTGAGTGGCCCATCTTGTCTTGTACTATCTTTGAGAAAAGTAAAGGAACCTACCAATAGCATCCATCAATCACCTGCCTTTTTGTGAGCGTACAAGAGGGGAAAGTGAAAGAAATATGGAGCGAGGGATAAAACATTAAAAGTGATCACAAGCCCTTTGTCTGTGCCAGACTGTGCCCGGTGCATTTGTATTAAAGTAGGCTTGTTCTACCAAACAGTACTTTCAGAAAATTATTTAAATATGAAACTAAGAACCATAGAGGCAGTAGAAAATACAGGCAACCAAAAGCAAGTAGAGGATGATGAGCAAATGTCTCTTAGAATGTTAAGATTCCATGACTCTTGAGTTAAGGAAACAATTTGTGGACTGAGTAGGCTCGACAAAGTAACAAAAAGCGCAATCAGAGGAAAGACTAATTCCGCTAGTTTTGAATATGCCATACCTGTGAATTCTAAAGCAAAGATGTTCCCATGCGCGTATGGGATTCCCAGCATAAGAGTCTACCAAATGACAAACTATAATAAGTAAGCTTAACCACATGGCCACTTTTTTAAACATAGAATATTGGTGATGGAAGAAAAAAAAACAACCAAAAAAACCTACAAAATCTGAGTAATCATGAAGAATAAAAATGAAAAGTATGTCAACTTTCAATGGCAAAAAGCAAAGAATTTTTTAATTCAATATTTCAAAACACCTTTACTTCAAGAAGTCACAAAATTTTCCTTCACAGCAATGTATGGACTCACTTCCAATACCATTATACTAACCATTCATCCCAAACGATTCTCTCACAGAGCCCATTTGTTAGAGGTTTCAATGAAGTCGCAAGATCTGGGATAAGCCTTTTTGTGCCATAATATAAGCTGCAGACTATCTTGTATTCCTCAAATCTGAAACAGAAAAACCAAATAATCAGTATATAAGAACTACTCGTAAATATTATGTCTGAGAAAACTGTTAACTCTGTCCATCACATCAATCAAATTTGAGAAGAGAAACCAAGAAAAAAACAACAACAAACAACTCAAATTCATAATCATGAGCTTCTTTTTCTACTGACTAACTTAATTAAAGCTATTGGACTACTGTCCAGAAATGGTCAGTAATTTTAACCAAGAACAAAAAAAGACCCCAAGTAAATCCTCCTTGCGTTTTATAATCTCCCTGGAGAAAACCAATACATTTTGTGACACTGAGTGCCTTAACATCTCAGAATATTTTTCCATATTAAATGGCTGATAGACGTTCTATTTATAAGACGATGTTTTAGCACAGCAGAAGGAAATTTTCTTTAATTTTCTTGACTAGTAGATAGACCATGATATAATTATCACTCCAAAGGAACTCATCACAACCTAAGCTGCACCCTTTTAACAAAATTTGAGCCTGCTACTATGATTGTGGAAGTAACTTTGATTTGTTTTGGACCCTTTTTGCGTTAATTAAGACTTTGCTGGGTTTAAACCATGAGACTGTTTCTGAATGCAGTCAGGTCCGCTGGGGTAATAATATAGATTGTAAAGCACACTGAGCTTGCTGTTGCCCAAGAATTTATGCTAAACAAATGCTATCTATTATTACTGTTAATATAATCAATAGAATCCCCCCAACAAAGTATCTGACCCTTCATTCAGGTGACATTAGTTTGAGAACTTTGGAACAGGTCAGTAACAGCAAGCACATCATAAAACCATGCAAGCAAATGTTTCAATGGATATTTTTCCCCCGTTTTCAACCTTTTGACCTCACTTTAGTAAGTCTCTTTTTACAAATAACTCAACAAACACCTAAAGCTATGTGAGGGTAGGAATTCCACTTGGATGTCACTTTAGCGCAATTTAATCCAAACACTGAGCAAATTACCATCAAGTGTAGATGTTACTATTTAAAGATGAAAGTGTATTAAATTCTAAAATGCCTTTATATGTAGCTGTAAAATGCCTCTAATACAGTAAGCACCATTACAAGATCACTTACTTGTTGGCCCAGGTGTTTGGAATGCGATGCGCTGAAGCGATGCAGGCGATAAAGTTGTCCTTGACCTTCACGACTTCTTGGTGATCTAACAGGACAGAGACATGGAGAAAAACCCATAAAAAAATCATGACACAAGTCATCCATTCCCCTAATGTACCTTGTATACAAAGAGCATGAGCAATCACTGTATCAAAAGAACTGTTTGAGAAACATAATATTCTAATCAGAAATAGTGGCAACATCTTCAAAAATACACATAGATTTTATAAGGACATTTTTGTTAAAGAGTGAACCATCTTGAAGAGAACCATCTTTGATTTCTCAGTCCACTCTAGGCATAAAAACAGAGGTAAGTGGTTCAAAGACTTCCCCTCATCACCTTCTGCCGACACAACGAAACTGAAAAGTCATCAAGTACATTCATAGTTGCAAGAATGATAAGAAAAAACCAAAAGTTGATGGAGTCTTGAGTATTTCTGAATTGAAGTTTCATGACATTATTATAATATATGTTCTACGTCTGAACATTTTGGGCTTCTTCAGGAATGTGATGTTGTTGTTATCGATCCAGTCAGGAATGTGATAAAAACAATAATAACACTTTGGTAACAAAATATATGTTCACTTATCGCATGAAGTACAATGATGCGTGCAAGAAAAATACCCATAGTACATCCATAGTTTATGACTCAAATTCAAGGACTCAATACAATAAACTCCATACCGTGGGGAATTTCAATGGAAGAGCCCAAAAAGAAGTCGGTGAGGAAAGTCCGACAGTACATCCTGACTAGTCTCTTGACCGCCTCCACCAACTGGTCAGCAGCCTCCTCCAGATCCTCCACCAGGGAGCAGCGTACAGCAACACTGAGGAGACAGCATAGCAACAGACTCATTAATATGTAATTTTACAAGTTTTACGCCTCCATCAACACTGATTAGATCATTTCAAAATCCGGCTACTTCGACCCTGCCTGCCAGTGATATGTACTACAACTTATTCCACACAAAAAATTGTTCAGTGCAACAACTAAAGCCTCCTAAGAACTGCTATGTTTTCTGATTCTAAGGGCCTGGTTAGCCTGAAGAAGTTTGAAGATTAAATGCTCATCAAAGGTCAACATACAAAGCTGAACAAAAATCAGCTTAATTAAACAACTCAGATCTACTTAAAATATAATTTTTCACCCATGTAACTGTTAACATTACAAATTGAGACATTGGCTCCAATTTACATTTCATACATTTCGCTTATTAAACTGGATGCTTGTACAGTCGTAAAAACAACCATTTGGTAAGACTGAAAGCACATATGTGAGGCATCGTGGTGAAATCAGGCGCTCGTCAAGATCGTGAGATCGAAGAAACTGGCATTTTTCTGCCAGTTTGGCAATTTTTATCAAATTTTTGTTTTTCGGTTTTACACAATTTTTGTCCAATTAAGAACACATTTAGGGGTGGATTTTATTTTAATACGTTGATTAAAGGCACAAAAAAAGTAAGTTTTCAGTTTCCACAGACTATCTAGCTATGGATATAACCAAACTTCGGTGGCTATTTTCTAGCTAATTCTACCTTGGAAACCAAACGACCCCGCCTTCTTCAATCTCAAGTATCTTGACTTCTATTCAAGACAGATGGGCATTTTTCACCAATAGCAAGACAACTGACCAAGCTTTAAGACGATACGAATAATGCATATTGTCTGATTCCACCGCATTGTGACACGTATAAATTTCTTAGTAGCTCAATTCCTAAATTACAAGTGGGCACTTACTTGATAGCATCTTGTGTTTCTCTGTCCTGAACTCCACTGTCCTTGTACATGTTGGAAGTCTGGGAACTGGGACTCTGCAGGAACAACGGCAATGAACAATTTGGGAAAAATGGTGCCTGTATCACAGCATATGGTAAGAAAAAGCACTTATTAAACCAAAAAGATAACATTTAACTGACACGTTTCTTACATTCATACTTTTATTTTTAACAGGAGAACATTTAGGAGGGAAAACAGATTGCTGATAAGGGCTGCCTGCTCCACATAGACACAAATAAAAGAAACTGTGTTCACATTTTTAAAATTAATTTTTCAACTTTGAGTTCAGTAAGTTGTAATACTTTGATAACAGTGGAGGAAAAATACAATGTTTCATTACTGCAAATAAGCAATAATCATAAGGTACAACTGTAGAAGGGAGAAAACAATTTGGTAGAAGGCAAAAACAACGATGACTCACTGCCAGCTCAGACACTTTCTTGTCCAGCTTCTCCAGGGCCTTGATGATGTCTGTGGTCTCTACTCTGGCTAGGTTAACACACAGAGCTTTGACCGACTGCTGTAGCCCCAGTGTGTGGAAAGTGCCTGTCCCGTCCTGAAAGGAATAAATAGTTGAGAACAATAGTTGGTAATGGCCAGCGAGCATGACAACATGCAAACTTTCCCCGATACAAAAAAAAGGGAAAAGAGAAATTATGAAAAGAAGTAGAAGGAGCACATTGTACCAGTGAGCCCACAACCACCTGCTGGGCCATCAATCATCAATGCAGGTGGAGTAAGTATTATCTTGACAGCTCATCATACTGACTTGAATTGTAGCATTATAGCTTTAGCTTAGCCAGTACAAAAGAGTCTAGTTTTTTACATAAAGCAAATTAGGAATATGGAAACATATAGAAAACACAGATAGAGCAGACCACACCACAACATCAATCCTCACCTGTAGGACAGAGTCTGAACACAAACCAACAAAAAGGAAAAAAAATCACAAGTACATTTGGTAACACATCTTAACATAGACAAGAAAACTAATGGTAGAAAACTAAGAAAACAAATTCTGCAGGCTGCTTTCTGCGATTACACTTGACTACAACAAATGTCACACATACAAGTGTTTGCTTGAGTCGAGTCTCATATTTCTTGAAAAACGGGTAAGCATAAGTTAGTCAAAGTAGAAAGATTCCTTGTTGAAGTTTGGTTCTGATACTACTTCTTTATCTATTTTTCTAATGTAAATTATTGTCACAAACCTTGGAGAAGTGCTCTAGTAAGACATCAACCTCATGATAGAACGTGTCAATGTAAACAGCCAAGGCATCTCTGCAATAAAGAAAAAGATTTTAAAATGAATCACCAGGGGTCATACCGGTTTTACGTTCATTCAAGAAGAGGCACAAGCTGAATCAGCTTTATTACAGAACTAGACTAAATATGTCTTGCCTTTTAGGGCCAACATTTTCACCAATTTTGATAGAAGAACAAAATTTTTAACACACTGTTCATTTCAACAATAAAAAGCAAATAAGGAATCGAGATCTTGTCACATTTAAAGAAAAGCACATCAAAATGACAACTGTTACTTAGTTCTGAAAAAAAGGCAAAACAGAAACACAACAGATCTACCTAAAACTCAAGATGTCTGCTTCTTTGTACATACAACAGCTGCTTTGGCTTTGGTGTGCATATTACAACAAAATTACCCATATGAAAAAATATTCTCCCAGAAAAACATAACCAGGAACCAAGAGGTTTGCAAATTCAGTTCACATGTTAAGTCAAGCAAAATGTGGTGCCAACCCTTAGATGGGTTCCTAATGTGGCGACTCCTTGAACAAAGACATCAAAACACAACATAGAAAGGCCAAAACGCTGTGGCAGTCAACAAAACTTTATACTGAAATGTAATGCTCGGCACTTTTATAACAAAAAAGCATGCAGACAAAAGCATTGACTAGAGAACTGGAAAGCTGAGAAGTATAAATTGCCTCCAAGGCTGAAATGGCCCAATAGAACTAAAAAGCTGGCCCACAGAGTTTTGTGAAATATGATCAATTCGAAGGGAAACAAAACCATGAAATTCCACTTTGATTTAAACACTTTGAAAGTTAATTTCCATTCACATTTTTAAAAGTTGCCCTTTTTTAAAGGAATGGGGGGCAAAAGGCAGAGACACTCACTGTGAGACAGCTTTGCCTTCAGCATTGATGTACTCCTTTGGAAAATAAAGCATCTGGATGTCATCATCTCTCTGTGGACAAGAAAAAATACACAGAATCTTAGAACTTCAACCACAACATATACAAAATATGATGCCACTGACTCAAAATAATTATAAAGTACAAAGAAGTAGATGACCAAATTTAGAGGACTTAAAATAGTGGTCCAATAAAAAAAAAGTTCTGAGGCTTTTGTTTACAAAAATACAAAGATGCACAAATAACCAAGATGCCCAATTTACATACTGGACATTGGCCAATAAGGACACCCACCAGCTGTCCAACAGCATTTATAGATACCAAAACAAAAGCAGAAGATAATATGTCCTTCCCCAAAAAAAACTCCCATCGGCTGTATTTCTTATGAAAGCCATTCACCACTAGGCAAAAACCATTATGTATATAACAAGGAATCCTTGCATCATATACAAAAGTGTCCTTCAGAGAAAAATCCAACAACTCACAGTTCTGATAAATGGTCGGGTAACCTCCTCACAGCTGATCAGTTCCAGGTCAATGTCTCTGTCCAGCTTCAGGCACGAGTGAGTGTAGTCAAACTTAGCAAGAGGAAGATCACTAAAGAGGAGAATAAACCAGCATGCCATATTATTCACATGCATAGGTTTGTACAAATATCAGTGAGTATATTAATTCAAAGTTGCATTTTTTAACCACTATAATCTATCAGAAGGCTCCTGTGGTTCAAGGGCTTCAAACTAATATCAAGTCATTTCAATGAAAAGACTTTTATTTTAGAAGCATTCTAGGTAACATGACTGTGACCAGGGCTCCCCTTTTCAGGCCAACTTAAGAGGTTCCTTCACCCTTTGGTTTACTATCTTAAGGGGTATTTAAACCCTTGTTTTAGAAACTTAAAGGGTAAAAGTCAATATCTCATAACCTTACATTATTAAGATTTTTTTGCTTGTAAACATTTAACCCACACACACATTCACACAGACACACACAGAGTGACCATGACTATGATTGAATGCTAAGATCCAACACAACTTTCGGTGAGTCAGCTACGAAATTCCACTTCCACATAGACATTTAGGAAAATAGTGCTCCGAGTTTCTGCTGTCAAAAAGTTCAACGAGTGCTTCCCACGACAGAAAAGAATGTAGAGTAGGATTTTAGACAAATCTGGCGCAAAAAGGGGAACAACCCCCCCCCCCCCCCCCCCCCCCCCCCCGGAGGAACAACCCCACCCCCCCAAAAAAAATATCGGGGTACACACGATCCAAATTTGGTAAATCGGGATGCTTGAGATTTAGGGCAGGGGTGAGTGGCAGGTTTGGAAAATAAACTGATTCATTATTCTTCAGAGCCATCCCAGGGTTCACATTTCAGTCTTTCCACACTTTCGATGACGGACAATTCATGTTTACTAGTGTGTTAAAGAAGGACGGTGGTAATCTCACGGCAGGGGTAAACTCAAGGCATGAGACCGGAAAATGTGAGCCACCAGAAAGTGGGCGGAGCTTCTGTGCTGAAGCCAGCCAGTGTTGCCGGAAACTGCGCGCTGCAGATAAGGAGGTCGACTAGTCGACTTCTTCTGACACAGAAGGTGACTGTCGTGCATATGTGAGGGTGTGTTGTCAAATCATTGACTCGGCTTCAGGATAGAGAAAGGGGAAAATGATCCTTGCCAGATGCACACCACCTACGTTTTAAAGCATATACAAACCTCCGAAATGAAATTATAAAGGGTAAAGCTCAAGCACCACCAAAACTTTAAGGGGGTAATCTGCAGGTTTAATGCGTAATATACGCACATTTGTGCGTAAAGGGGAGCCCTGCTGTGACCCAAATTTCTCTCCTAAAAGTGTTTCATATTTTTTCTTCTTGTTCATGTCATTCATCATAACTCATACATTTCATGATCTGATAAAACATTTTCACACATGTTCTCAGGGTATTGTTTTTAAATAAACAAGGGCATCTTCTCTTACCCCAAAAAACATGAACAGAATAGATTAATTCTGAAGGGAAAAAAAGAATACAAAGAGAACAATAGTACACATACATTTCAATGTAAATGTGGTTGACTTAGGACAATAAAACGGTAACACGATATCCATCACCCTTACCTTGACCCGCATGTTGAACTACACTTTCAATACATGTATCGTTGCTACCGGATCTCTCAACTATAGAATTACAGTCAATGTCCTAATCCTTTAGTGAATCATAATTTGACTACTGCAAAAATGTCAATGCCCGGGAGTCGCTTTTGTCTATCATAACTCCCATAAGACAAAACAAACCGCATTCAGCATTATTTGAAAGTCATTTGCACCACATTATGTTTAAATTTAGATGTAGACCTAGGGCCGTTAAGTTGAAACTTCTGACATAATTTGTACTAACAGAAAGTGTGTGTACACCGCAAGAGTGTGCGCATTTCAGAAAAAAACATGTGTGGGTTTGAGTGGGTGTAAGTGTGAATGTGTTTGTGTTTGTACGCAGGTTTAACAGCCATATCGATTTAAGATTTGAGTTTCCTACATCGCACTCATTAATTTCACTGACTATCTATTTCAATGTACAGGGAGTTGTCATTGTAATCTATTCATCTACACTGGTATTTTGATTTTTAACCATTTGAAAATAAAGGTTTCTCAATAGTTACTATCGATGTAATTTTGAAAATGTTTCAATAATTTATTTCAAATTCAGAAATCTAAATAACGCTTCATTATACTATTTATCAAATGCAGAGACCTACTTCCGAAAAAGCTTAAACAATAAGGACAATTAAAGCTTTTTAAATTGTGCAATATAAAAAAAAATTGTTTCAAGACATTTTTAAGCAAAAATCTGAAATTTACACTTCTCAACAGAGACAAAAATGTGAGCACCAAGTTTCATGCGGTACAGTGGTTGCTTTATGATCTCTCTGGAAAAGTCTATGAGCATGAAGCAAAACAAAAGTCTTTGATTTGTCTTCAAATTTATGTTCTCTATGATGTATACGATTCTTATATTTTGCTACAGCATGATATCAATTATCAGTAATTGCTCATTATCCTCTAATTCACTTTATCCTGATGTAAACAGATTTACTCTAACTCTTGACATAGATTTTGGAAATGAACTGCAAAAAATGACTCTCCAGAATTTACTATTATTATTTCCATGTTATTTTTCTATTACTGGAGTAGCACTTTAAAGACAGTTCTTTTCATATAAGCAAATAATGCAAATTTGACAATTCTTACTCTACTCATGCTAAATTTGGGCCATTTGCTTGCCTATCTCTGTACAGAAACAACAGAAACAAACATGCACCTACTTGCAGAAATACTCTGCTCTGTCGTAAACTTTGAGGATATAGCTGTCCGTGTTGGCCTGCAGGTCATTGGGAGACAAAGTGCAGAGCACATGGCTTATCACATGCTCCACAAGGGCACTGGCTGCAAAACACAATACAGTTGTAGAGTTAAGGGGTGGCTATGTCACACAATACCGTTGTAGAGTAAAAGGGTGGCACACGATCAGATAAATGGAAAAAGATAAAAGAAAAAGGACAAAGAAAAGCAGAGCTCAGTAAATCACTTTTTTAAACCCAGAGAAACTATGCACATCTCTGTCACTGCAAACATGGACATTGATAACTATCAGCAGAATGCTTGTCAAGTATAATTTACTGTGTTTCTTCAATTGGAGGTGTTCGTCAGATAACGTTTAGCACCAGCCCCATCCAAACCTTAGGTCATAAGAGCTCAACACAACCAATGTTGCCAAAGTTAACTTTTAGTGAAAATTTTAAAGCACCCTCAACAAAATAAGGTCATACAAGTGCAGAAGTTTTAGTTTTAGTAAGTGTTTTACAGCACTTGCAACACAATAAGGTCATGAAAGTGCCAAAGATTGGAGGTGTTACTGGTGTGGGCGATCATGGACCTCCACTTCACTCTGCCTTGCGTTGCAGCAATGGTGTCTGTTGTTCTTGCTGCTCCTAGCTATGTTGTCATCTTGTCCAATATCTTTTCCCTCTGTCTGCCTCTGCCTCTCTTTCCATCAAACTTGCCTGTTGTTACAATATTCTCCAATGCTTTTTTCAGCATTGTGCGTCCGAAGAAATTTGCCTGTCCCTTTTACATGAGAGTAACAAACACAAAAAAGGAGGAGAGTCAAGGACGATAGATGTTTGATAGGAAAGAAGAAGCAAACCACACCAGAGCACCCGCCAACCACCCACATATAAGTGCAGAAGGTTTGAGGTGCTACAAGAGAATACCAAACACAAAAGAGGAGGAGAGATAAGGACGATACATGTTTGAAGGGAAAGAGAAAAACACAGCATGGTACCAATCAACCACCCAGATAAGTGTGAATTACCAGTATCACAGATGAAAATTATAGTAAAAGAAAGGAATTTGTCAAGAGAACACAAAACAGAACAAAAGTAGAAAGAAGAACAACAATAACAACAACAATGTCATGACCATAGCAATAACAACAATATACAACAAAAAAACCAAGGCGCTGCTAACTATCTAGTGTGGGAGACAAAAAGTTCATTCACAGATCTCAAAGACAATAACAACAACAACAAACAATATAACAACAAAAACAGAATTGGGCAACTCACTAAAACAAGAACTGACTGACCAGAGGTGTATAGAGAAGACAAAACACCACGACAACATCAACAACAGCAAAATCTAACGATGTGAGACTTACTATCACAGGTGAAAGACACTGGGTCTTCAGAAAACTGCGTGTGGACAGTCAGTTTGACCTGTATGGAGCCAAGATGGCTGTCCCGTATTTGGTTGACCAGATAACCTTGGTTGGTTTTCTCATCAGTGGACAGGTACTGTCGCTTCAGGCTACAAAGAGAGGAAGAGTGAAAAAAACATGACCTTCACCCTTTGAAGCAACCAAACCACTTGCATAAATCACCCAAGTTGAAAACGAGCTATTTTTTAGTCCTAGTAAGAGTTTTACAGCACTTGCAATGCAATTAGGTTGTATAAGTGCTGAAGATTACAGATGATACAAAAGAGTAACATGCATATACACCAAAAAAAAGGAGGACAGGTAAGAGCGACAGATATTTAATAGGACAGAAGGAGAAAACCACACCAGAATACCCATCAACCCAACAGACAAGCTCTAGATAAAAGTAGAAAAAACAGACACATTGAAAGTTGACCTATCAATCACTATTCAAACAAACTATCGAAGTTGAAACAAACACTGAAATGAAGTAGAAGAAGCACACCACATCATAGAGTCAATGAAAATGTTCATGAATTATCTAAATCTACTTGAGACCAGACCCCACAGTAATTACAAGACAGTCAAACAGTTGCATAGAGGAGTAATCATCGCTTCTTGTTTTCTTATAGATGCACAAAAATATAGCACATTTTTGGGTCAGAATAAACTACATTATATCTTTAAACAGAGCACTATAAATATTTACTAAGGCAATCTGTATGGACTGCATTCGCTGAAAGAAAAAAGAAGAATTGCACAAACTTTATAAATCAGTACTTACTCAGCAACCATCTGACAAAACGATTCTGACTCTGGATCAATAAATGTACGCTTCCGTAGTCTTTCATAATGTTTTCCCTAAAGAGAAAAAGGCATTAGAGAGGCAAAAAATTAAAAGAGGGACGACAAACAGGTTAAAGAGAAAATAAAAAATGGAATTGCTATAAACATGAGCATGTACTATTTGTTGAATTAAAAACTATGTGATACGACAAAAAACACAATGCTTATGCAGCAGCATGAAAAGTAATAAGAGAAATGACCTCTGTAGAGAATATCACAATACATATATATGTGACATAGTGAATAAACATCATTTAAAAAGAAACGCAAAAGTTAAAATCAGTAGAACATGAACAAATAAAAGTTGAGATAGAAAAATAAAAATGATAAAGTATGTATTGTGAAACTGGTGATAGACAATGGGCTAAACAAGTTCAAAATAATATAGGTCCACAAAGGAAATCTATTTTTAATTCCATTTTTTAAAAATATATATATTTGAAGTGGAAAACAAAAACAAATTTGCCAGTAACATGAAAGATTCCATTCACAAACACATGCCTTTGTATTAATTACAAAAGAGTAAAAATATTGGACATACCTGAGGAACCTTCCATGATGGAGGGCGCTGTGGTTTCTCTCCACTGACTTTTTTACTGGTGGTTTCAAAAGCATCATAAGCTGCTGTGGGAAGAGCTGGTGCTGAATTTGAGAGTTGAGCAGACCCTCTTAAGAACTCTTCATCGCTTGTGCCAAACTTTGCATGGCCAAAAGCGTCAAAATCAAAAGCCTCAAACCCAATTCCCGGGGGAGGTTTAGACTGCTGCTGGACACTGCTACCTTTTACAGGCATCCATATGTGGTCATCATTCTTTTTGTGGTCATAGGCTGCGGAGGCAGAAGGCACTGCAGCACTTCCAGGGGGAAAATCTGCTTGGTACACATTGGGAAACGCTTCTCCAAATGAATAATTAGTCTGTTGAGCATGGTTTATAGAGGCAGGGCTGTTGCTGAGACATATAGACTCCCTTCTGCCCCGAGAGTAGAGGGGATCAAAGTAATCCAGAGACAGGTATTCATGCTCCGGCAAAGTTACACCTAGTTTAATGAGATCCCTGCCCTCAGACGGCTCATCAGTGCTAGGTGCTACATACGCAAGGCGTTCATCGAAACCTGCCACCACTATAGGGTGGCTTTGATTATCTATTGGTGACAGGGAGGACTCCCGTGAGGCTTCAAGAACGTCCCCAAGACTTGCTGGTCGGGGAAGGGAGATATTTGGCACATACGGAAAGCTGCTCTGAATGGGAGTGTTGGTGTTAAAACCTCTATTTTCACTGAAATTGTTCGAGGAGTTAAAATTGTTTGAAGGGTTGAAATTATTTGAAGTGGCCGAATCATAAGCAGCGGATGAATTTAACCCAATAGGGAAGTTATACGCTTCATTTTTCACCAGGAGAGGTCCCCCTGGAGTGGTGTTGAAGGGTATGAACATGTTGTTCGGGGAAGAAGAGAAGCCAATGCCAGGTGGGGCCCGTCCATTGAAAGCATTTGGTGTGAAACTGCCAGGCTGTTGCTGCTGTGGGTAAGGTAAAGAAGCAGGCATGGGTTGGTGGGACAGTGGGAATCCTGGGGGCTGCCCAGAAGGTCCTTGTGGACAAGGGTTGGATGTTGGGGTTACCCAACCAAAGTTTGAGGTGGATTCCATAGGTGGGGGCCGGCCAACACCCACCCCAGCCTGTGAACCACTCACACTTGGGAGTACGGGCATCATGTTGTTAGCTGGGTACGGTGGGGCCAAAGTTGGATAGTTGTAGCGATTACCTGTGATCTCCCGGAAGGCATGACTTATATCAGGGTACATAGGTTTGTTAATGTTATTTAAATCTTCCATGGAGGCACTGCGAAGCTGTGTGCCATCATGTGGGTCCGCAAATGTCCCACCACTGGCGTTAAAGTCGAGCCCTTCCAAATCTGGATGAAATGCTGCTGTTGGATTACTCTCACCTACTGGAAGAGACATCCTATTTTGGTTCTGCTGGGCAGCTGGGAATATTGGAGCACTGTCTTTTGTGTACAATGAATTAGACTTGGTGACACCTGTCTTCTTCACTCCCTGTCCTTCAGTACTGAACAGGATGGAATTTTCATTAATTGGCTTAGAATCATCACTTCTGCGGTTGAGACTTGCTCTCCGAGGGGGTATTGGAGGAGGCGTGCTCGCAGGTTCTCTGTCCAGAAGTGGGGGTCTGGTAGATACCTCCTGAGACTCTGATGTTGTAAGAGGACTTTTACGCCTTGCAGCAGCCAATGATGGTGGAGGTGCTAACTCATATGGAGGGGATTTTGAACCATTTCTCCCATTCCCAGAGGCCATGCCTTGTTAAAGCTTGAATTAGCAAGAACAGTAGAACAGCAGCATAAAGCTACACGAGTCTCACAGGGGCATCTGTGGAAGACAAAATTCATAACTGAAAAAGTAAAAGACAATGGATATCTTTCGAATGAATAAAATCATAAAATGTTAGGACTGTTTTAAAATGAAAACAACGCTCGCCCAAGACCTCTGTACAAACGACCACCGTCCACTTCACCCTTTTTGTTTAAATTTCTTTATTATGGTGAAAACTGTCCGAGAGTGCCACATGTCTAAGATACCATTTTTCTCACTCGACAGTGGTTGCATATCTTTGACAAGTTCAATTGCTAAAATCCTGAATACTTAGAAGTCAATAATGATGAACATAAATTACACACATGTCATGTAACAAATCAGCGCACGGCACCAGTATTTAGTCATTACACTTAGGATTAAAATTTCTTATCACCTTGCTTCAATGGACCATTTAGTAGGAATACACATGATAAAAAAGCTGTGTTTGTCAATTTGGAGAAACTTTGCGGGCAATTACATGTTTTCTCTGAACCTGTGAAAACTTTTTTTTTAGGAAAGCGTTTTACGAAGCTCGCAACTGCATAAGGTGATATGAGTGCGTGAGACACACCAAACATTTTCAGTTGGAAGAAAATTTTGAATTTTGCTCGGGTGGCGGCCGAAGCCTACTTTTATCGATTTTAGACCACCAAGGGATCTTTAACGTGCCCAACGTGCATACAGGACCTCCAAGATTTTTCGCTCTTGTCTGAGAAGGCTAGTAGATCTTACACTACCAAGATCAGGGGTGTGGCTGAAAGACAGCAGCAGTAAGCAGGAGCCATGAAGTAGCGGTTAGAAAGGCTGCAGAAGGAGTCAGGAGCCCAGAGGAGGGGGCAAAGGAGGTGAAGGGGAGGGGGCAGAAAGTGGAGACGAAAGCAGACGACAGAACACTGTCAGAGAGAAGGGAAAGGAGGTGAAAGGAATTGTTTAGCAGACAGCATTCCAGGTTATCGCATAATTGTCTGGTTGTCCAATTTTAGGCCAAATGTGTGCCAACTGACGGTATGACGTACGTGACGGTATGCAGTACATAGGCTCTAGATCTAGATTTTCTAGATCTAAATCTAGCTGTAGATCTAGATCTAGATCTCTAGAGTAAAATTACCGGTTCGGTCAAAATAAGGACGAAAACAGGCACGTCGACTTTAAAGCTTTATATCTCCTATCTGCCTTGCCCTAGAGACAAACCGAAACCAGCTACAGGAAGCCCTGTGATTGGATGACCCCAGGAATAACCTGTTTCAGCTTGTTCTCATATTTGAGGCCCTTACTGGGTGCAAAAGTGACGCCCGATTTATTAAAGTGTTCGGTCACATTTTTTTTGGTTTTCTCATGGATTCGGGCAGTGTTTTGACATTCGGTCATTTTCAATTATTATCACATTTTTTTCTTTGCAAGCTTAATATGATTTTTAATGCTTGTTATCAACACTTGGACACAATGATAGTTTGTCTAAAGTGGTTTTCACCATTTATAGCTATTTTAATGAGTATGTATCTGACCCACTCTACTACGTGGTATCTCTGACTCTACTACACTGGCATCTGGCTCACTCAACTACACTGGTATCTCTGACTCTGCTACACTGAATATCTGACTGTATTACACACTGGTATCTGACTCTACTACCCTGGTGTCTGACTGAGCTAATATGCTGTATCTGACTCTACTGTTATTTAAATTATGCACAAATTCTTAATTCTTTATTATATAACCATTGGCACTATATTATCTTATGTGCCCGAAGGATGAGAAACTACGGATTTTATGTTACAATCCGGGCACCCCCCCTTTGGGCAAAAACGGCGAGGCTGAACTGCAAATTCTCTTTCATCCTTGATGGGGCCTATGCAAATAACTCTCCAGCTTTCAGAGTTTACCAAAACGTAGAATCTAGGCCACAGGCTCCTCCATCCACAACCAATGTTAACTCTTCCAGGGAAACAGCTTCACGCCGTTTTGCTCAGTTGATGAAGAAAAAGCTGTCTTAAGGACTATTTTTAGCAAAATATCGCCGTAAATGTTGTTTCAACGAAAGTAAGGGAGGTTGTTTTAGGTTTGTGGGTAAGATTGTACTTTACCGGACCACCGGTCGGAACTACTTTCGCTATGGCGCCCCTAGTGCCTAGTGGCCCGCTATTCTTCGTTTCTGAGCTCCCCTACTCAGTCTCCTACTCAGTTTTCTACGTCCTCACTCTTCAACTGCCAGCAATCGACTGACGTCTCTTACCGGGTTTTTCAGTCATCATGACCGTGCCACCGTGCCCTTTGACTCATGACCCTGACATCTTGAGGCTAATTGGTCAATCTAATCACGTGGTCCACTATTCTTATTTGCTCGCAACTCTGCTGGCCTGGCCTCTATCTAGGCCTACTCCTGGTCCGGCAAAGTACAATGGAGGGCTAAAGATGCACACGACAGCTCATTTGCATAATTGCAACCCCCTCGGCCCTGCTCGCGACTTGGTGAGTACCTACCCCGATTGTCCGCTCATGTTATTATTGTTTATAATATATATATGTGTGTGTGAGTGTCTTTAAATTATGCTAGCCCCCCTGAAACCCCCCCTCCCCCCACTGTTGTTACATTGATATGTAAACACGACTGTCCGCTCATGTTATTGTTTCGCATTTTTGTGTGTTTTCTTTATTATAGTTTCCAGGGGGGCAAGCCCCCCTGAACCCCCCTCCCCCTCCCCACTGTTGGTATGATACACGGTGGTTCACCAAAGTTAAATCCCCTGCCCACTCTCAACCACCAACTCACGCTCACCTCGCCTCGCCAGTTGCCGCTGGCTTGCGCTGTGCGTGCGCGAAGTCGCCCGCGGAACTACCTTTAGTCCGCATGCAGAGTACCATGACTATGAGAGCGTAGTAAGGCTAGGTGTGCGTAGTAATCACGGACCGAGACGGGTGGTCCGGTAAAGTACAATCCAGCCGGTTTGTGTGCCACTCTTTTGGGGCTAGATTTAAAAACAAAGTTTTAAACGATCTTTTTGTACTCCGTCCAAACGTGCTGACCCGGTACGATTACTCTACAAGCACAGAGTCACCTGTGGAAATGTGTAACAAAAATCTTAGCCCTGCACAGCAACTCTTAATATAGAATCTAGATCTAGAATCTAGTTAGTCATCATCAAGTAGAATCTATGATTTAGTCTTACAAACTTGTTCAACTTGTTGGTTACATTCGTGAAGAAGTGGATTGGACCATTTAACTTCAAACCAAACCAGTCAAAACCCACAAAACTCAAGGAGAGAAGAGTCTCGACCAATAAAAAATATATTACTGTGTCTAATGAAAACAACATTTTAAAAAAAAGTTTTTAAATTAGACATTCTATTGGCAAATGAAACTAACCGCTACACAGAAACTTAATCAGTCGATTTGGAACTTCTCATCAGAGAGAAAGAGGGGCAGCTGTTGCTATTCTGGAAGCCATATTTCCAGTAGGGGAAGTTACGCTGGACAAAAAAAAAAGAACTGCACAGAGATAAACAAACAATCAATTTCTGTAATATTGCCTGGACAGAAATATGCCTGAAGCAATGAAGAAGCTTCACCTGTACACATGCTTCTATACATCAAAGTCTCGACACCTTCCAAAGTTACAGATCTAGCCCAGTCGTTGAATGTAAACAAAAACTCTTTCACTTTGCATCGGTTGCATCAAATGCCCTGACCAGGAAGTGGGCGTAACGACAGTTAGCTCCCTTCGCCAGTGAAGCACAGAATTCTACACTTAAGTGTAGAATTCTGTGCATGCAGTGAAGCAAAGAAAACCTCTTTACAGTGAAGTTATCGGGGGTCCGAAGCCGAAGGCCTATAGGCCTAGAATCTATAGACTAGATCTAGATCTAGATAATATCTAGATTCTAGATCTAGATCTAGATCTTGCGAAATTTTTATAAGAGTTTTTTTTCACCCACTATTTCAAAATAATTTCTAAAAATAGTCTAGATATTTCCCAATGTAAAGAAATTTTCTTGATACGAGGAGGGGTATAAGCTTAAGAAATCAATCGAATTTTATTCTTGTATCAGATCAAACAACGCATATATAAATCATGCAATCACATATAGGCCTATATCTGATTGAGGCCTTGCGACTTTATTTTTGGTCTGGTAGAGCGAGAGAGCGAACGAGAGAGAGAGAGGGGGGGG